CGATACGCGGTCAACTTGCCGCTTACTTCCGGCGATAGGCGGCAAGGCTTGGGTCTCAGACGCGAAGTTCGCGTCTATCGGAGGACGGCTTCCTTCTGCAGTCCGACTGGTAGCGACACCAGTTGGACGCCAACCTTCGGGGGCGGCGGCGCTCGGAGGTACGGTACCACCGGGCCCTCTCGAGGGGGCACCGGGTAGCCTTTCGGCCATGGTACGTTCCATGTCACGAGCACGCCGACGAGTGGCGTCGAGCTCAGCGGAGAGGTGCGCGAACGCACCCAATTGCTCTGCGGACGGAGAGGTTTGGTCCTCGGGTCGTCTCACCGAGGTCGGCCTCTCAGGACGACCATGCCCGGACGGTCCGGGCGAGGCGAAACGGGAGTCTTCGACGAGCACTATCCGCGAGTATAACTCGTCGATCAGTGCTCGGAGATTCTCTAAGGACTGCGTCACTCTATCAAACCTCCCTTCACGCAGGGAGCGTATACATGGTCCGCTACATCGATCCGAAGGGAAGTACTGACTTCCTCGATGTATTCGGCTATGCGTTCGAACATCGCCGCCGCTCTTTCCTCGGAGGATCCGAGCGACGGTTCGCGGTCACGAGGACCTGTGTCGCCGTCGCCCGACGGGGCGGATGGGGACTGCACAGCGGCTGGACTCAGATCCGCCGCTTCGGAGCGGATCGAGGGCTCAAACTCTTGGCTCATCTCGACGCGATCGGTTCGCGGAGGGAAGCGGAAGTCTTCCCGGAGATCGGACTCCAGGGTCTTCTAGGTCGGGAGACCACTGTAGCATAAACACCCCCAGCGATAGGGGTGCATGCACAGTTCGACGGAAACCCCGTCCGATCGGGAAGACGGGGGTGAAGCAGGACACCAGCTAACGGCACCGGGCAGCGGACCCGGGTAGCGTGGTAGAGCGGGAACAGGGAGGACGCCGGTACGCGCGAGCGGTTCGACGCCTCGACGCCCTGGCGCGGTACTGGGTAACGATCCAGTACCGACGGGCGGAGGCGGAGCCGGCTCGTGGGCGTACCGCGCGCGTCCTCAACCCGCGCTCGGTGCCGCTTCTAAGGTAATTAGCGAGCGTTACCTTAGAATAAGCGGGAAGTCGGACCTTGACGGTCGGTGGGTGACAAGTCCGTGCTTGTCCTCCTCCACCGCCGCCGGTCCGCTCCATATTTAATGTACATAATAACCTATCATAATAGTACAGTACCGATGTACTGTAGCGACGTAGTGTAGCGGTCGGTCGACACTGTAATACTGTCAGCCATCGGGGCTGACAGTACACGTGTGTGCGCGTCCTTCGGTCCCGCGCGTACACGTGTACACGTGCGCCCCCTGTACTCGGGGGTACACGTGGTGGTACTGTAGAGCATCGAGCCCTACAGTAACCCATCCGGTTCTGAGTTGATCCAATCTAAAATAAAGCCCCAGGGGAGAGTTATACTACAGATCCCCTGTAAGCCCACAGACCAGATCTTACACCACTGGCATTTAAAGCTCAACCATGCCCCCCTACGCACAATTCAAGACATCGCCAAATCAAGGAAGCTACACGGCCTTCCACCCGCTCTCGCCGCCGCCCAAAACCGACTGTCATGCTCCGCATGTGCACACGCGAAGCAACGACCGGCACGCCATTCTCCCACTCAACACCACTATGGCACGGGCGACTATCTAAGTTCTGACACATGCGGCCCCATCCATCCTCCATCCAACCACGGCAACCACCATTTCCTAACGTACATAGATGCGGCTTCCAGATACGTCATGCTGTATTTTCTAAAATCCCGAAGCGAAGAAGGAATCATCATGCCGCAATTCTTCGCGCTGCTGAAGCAACGCAACCGCCTTCCTCGAACCTACCGCACCGACAACGCACGCGAATTTAAATCCAATCACGCGCTGCACACCTACGCCTCCCTCGGTATCAAGTACGAAATAACACCCCGCATCAGCCTCAGGAAAATTCTATTGCCGTTAGAATTAATCAAACTCTCACGAACGCCGCCAGAGCCAATCTCCACCACGCCAACCTACCGGACGCCTATTGGGAGGACGCAGTACGCGATGCGGCTTATAAATACAACATCATACCCCATCGGGCCACCGGACAAGCCCCATACACACTATGGCACAAACAGAAAGCACAGCCGAAGCAGCTCCTCATCTTCGGACAATTAGGCATAATACCTATATACGGCACAAAACGCAAACTAGACACACGCAGCCGAGCAGTACGATACATGTACTCCAACAGCCCCCACTCGATCACAGTGCAAGATACACACACAAGCAAGTACCACATCACACGCACGCAGGACTTCCGTCCGTACACAAAAACACATGACCCTACAATGACCACAACAGCCGTCCTCCGCACTTCACCAGCAGCAGCACGCGGAACCGGACTACAACTCACCACAGACCGACAGATCCCCATACATGAGAAGCTCATACCACTCACAATGACATTCAGGTACATTCGGGATCACTCCGGTACAGTAACCGACCGCTAGGCGCGCTGCGCAGCACGCGGCGACCGCATGACCCCGGGGACACATTACGACCCCGAACAAGTCACCACCTACATGGCGGACAAGACTACAGTACGTCTACTCCTCTCCATCGCAGCTACGCACAATTGGCCCCTAGAACACCTACACATCAGCTCCGCCTATCTCCACGAGAAAGTCCCTCAAACGAAACCGGTCTACATCAAGAAGCACCCCCGGTTCAACGGCACCCTCAAACATTCATGCAAAGCAGGTCTACTCATACGCAATATCTATGGCACACCTCAGGCAGCACGTATTTACCACGACGGACTGTCCAAGCACCTAATCGCGCATAGCTACCACCCCACTCAGGCAGACCCCTGCCTCTTCTACAAAAAATCCAAACGCGGCCTCATTCTAGTCGCCATCAATATGGACGATTTCCTTTCAGCTGCATCTTCTCAAGAGCTACACGACGAGCTCCACGCCACTCTCGCAGCCAAATACACCATCAAACGTCTCGGCTTCCCTGCCAGGTATCTCAAATGGCACATCCAACGCCTCACAGATGGCTCCATACACATCTCGCAACCCAACGTCGCCAAAACCATCCTCACAAAAACAGGCATGGTGTCGTCCAACCCAAAGCGAACACCGCTACCCCCTAAAGCCTTCACGTACGCGCAAGACGACCCCCTCTTAGAACAGCACCAATCCTTTCTCTTCCGCCAAACAATCGGAGACCTCAGATACTTAGCCGACAGCACCAGGCCCGATATCCACCCGGCGGTCAGCATGCTAGCCTCTGTCATGCACAAACCGGCTCGCACACACAAGAACCACCTCCACTGGCTCCTTCGGTACCTCAGCGGTACAGCACACCACTGAATACTGTTCAAAGCCAAGGCTCCCAACGCCTCTCCAAGCCTCCGCACATACAGCGACTCGGATTTCGCCAACGACCACGCACACCGATCACGAACCGGATCAGTACACATGTTCCACGACGCGCCGATCAGCTGGACCTCAGCTCGGCAATCCGTAGTAGCCGACTCCACCTGTGAGGCGGAATACCTCGCGGCCACGGCAGCCACGCAACAAGCTCACTGGCTCCGCCGCCTCCTTTCCGACGCACAAAAACCGGAGCACGAACCGACCCCCCTTCTAGTAAACAACAAAGCAACAATCCTCGTGGCACAGAACTCGGCACCCACCAAACGTCGAAAGTTCATCGATGTGAAACATCACCTCATACATAACCACATTCAACGAGGAAACATCAAAATCCAACACATCCCCTCCGAGGACAACCTCGCCGACTACTTCGCAAAGCCACTCGGCCCACAACGCACGAAAACTCTCCTCAATAAGCTCAGCTTCGTCGACCCAAAACCCCTATTGGCGAACCCGGGGACTGTCAGACCGCACAATCACATTCGCCAATAGTCATTTTGCAGTCTCAGACCGCACAGGACAGTCTGTCCTTCAGGATAGACTTATAACTAGCGAGCGACGACGAGTAAACGAGGAGGCATCGATCTTCTGTTCACACAAGCTCAGTATTATCGCGAAGACAAATCTGCCAATACCGATCCACCACAAATGTCAAATATTGCAAAATTGTATGTATTTTCTGTACATGCTTCTCTGCACTCTGCTGACTTGTGCCAAGAAGCGTTCTTGTTTCGTGAGGGACTGAGGAGCCAATTCAGAATGATAGCTCCCACAGTGTGGACTGACGTCGTACAAACAAGGGGCCGTCACTCATTCTTCTGCTCCGCTCCTGCGGTTTCCAGACTGTTTTCACGTCCAGTTCACCGTCTTTCCTGTCGGGCAATAGCTGTACGACGTGGCCACGCAGGGTACGTCAGTGCAGTGACTCCGGCTCCTGCGGCTTCGGTGCATAACCGACCGTGGCAGGCCTCCTAAGGTCGGTTCTTTCATTACAAGACTGTAGAGACATTCGTCTCCTAGTACAAAGTGCTGCCCGAATTCACGTGAACATGTCAAAGCCCTGGCGCGCCGGCTGAGCAAAGGACATTGCTGGACAACGTGAATCGCGATTTTGGAATGGCACATCTCGATTATTTGGACAGGTGTCTTCGGTGAGCAGATCGGAGATCGTAGAGTTGGGTCTATCTGGCACACAGCGTCGTCCTCTCCGTGCGAGGTATTGTCTTTCCATGTTTCAGTCTCCCAGAGAACAATGGTCTTCAACCGCCGAGCCGCCCTGAATCTTTCGTGATGTACGCTACAGGCCTTAATCGAATGTACGCAATGTTACTTACCTGCGTCGATCGACAAAGGTCGGGCCCTCATGGAGATGGCGTGTGGAGAATTAATTTGCAAGATGTCAAGAACAATGATGGCTAGTCCAAAGTCCTTTCCTTTTATTGTGATTGCATATCGATTACCATTTCGGAATCTTCAGAGATACTACGCTACGTGGAGATTGGTTGGAGTCCATCATGAACACCACTGCTCGAGTAGTGCTCTAGGCCGTTGTGTACGGGGAGTACGCCCAGGAATCCACCTTCTCTTCATGGCAGAAACCTGCCTTCAAGCGATCGTGCACCAACCGGGTACTGATCTTCTTGAGTCGGCAAAGCGTCGAAGCTTCCTGTCGCGTGCTCTGCGCCACGTTCAGCTGGCCGTCCGTGTCGTTCAGTGCCTGCACGACCTGTCTCGAGGCTTCGCTCGTTACACACTCATACTTCGGCTCGCATTTACGCGATCTGCAAGCTTTTGTGTCTAAGTCTGTCATCGTGTAACACGTGCTTGAGGGGCTGGGGACCTGAGCGCAAGAGCACTCGGATGGCATCCCAGGGGGGGCTCCTGACGTTTCTGATTGACCAGAAAATGTATAGGTCGGAGGCCTCGAAGGCTTGGACCTGGGGTTGCGACCGCCGGAGCGGGGCTTCTTTGGCTTGCGGGGCCTCTTACGCGGGGGGCCGCGAGTGCGCGGCTTCGTTGGATTGCGCGGCCTCTTACGCGGGGGAGTGCGAGTGCGTGGTTTCTTGGGGTTGCGCGGCCTCTTACGCGGGGGAGTGCGAGTGCGTGGCTTCTTGGGGTTGCGCGGCTTCTTACGCGGGGGAGTGCGAGTGCGTGGTTTCTTGGGGTTGCGCGGCTTCTTACGCGGGGGAGTGCGAGTGCGTGGCTTCTTAGGGTTTCGGGGTCTCTTACGCGGGGGAGTGCGAGTGCGTGGCTTCTTGGGGTTGCGCGGCTTCTTACGCGGGGGAGTGCGAGTGCGTGGTTTCTTGGGGTTTCGGGGTCTCTTACGCGGGGGAGTGCGAGTGCGTGGTTTCTTGGGGTTGCGCGGCTTCTTACGCGGGGGAGTGCGAGTGCGTGGCTTCTTGGGGTTGCGGGGTCTCTTACGCGGGGGAGTGCGAGTGCGTGGTTTCTTGGGGTTGCGCGGCTTCTTACGCGGGGGAGTGCGAGTGCGTGGCTTCTTAGGGTTGCGCGGCCTCCTACGCGGGGGAGTGCGAGTGCGCGGCTTCTTTGGCTTGCGACCGGGTCTCGGCTTTGTGCGCTTGACCCTGGGCTTGGTAGGCTTCGTTTGCTTAGGGTTCACGCGATCTTTCTTATTCTTGCGCCTGTCGTCGGGGCGTCCTCCCGCGTATGAAGCACGAAGAGCATTAGCAATAGAGCCAAAGTAGGACTTCTTCTGTAGGGAAGCAGTGTTCCCGTTTGTGTCACCTGTGAGATCGTGTGAGGTAACATGCATCCTGTCCGTCGTTTCGCTCCCTTCCAAATCTTTCGGGGATGCCACCGGAGATTCAGACTCCTCTAAAAAATCGGTCCTTTCCTCCTCAGTAGCAAACTCATCATCCGCCTCAAACTCGTCTGTGTCAACCTCTTCCCAATCATCAAACTCGTCGTGTTCCAGATCGTAGTAGTCTTCTTGCGAATTTTCTGACTCCGAAATTTCAGACGTCCCCTCTGGAATCGTGAGGTCTTCCCCCGACGCATCAATGTCCTCTACCGGAATGACAGACCCCTCCTTGGTAGGGTCGGACTCCTCAGGAATATCAGCGGACATCTCCTCCTCGCCCAAGTCCTCCGAAATAGCAGAGTCTTCCACCAAATCATCAAAGTGGTCCCCCAAAAGATCATCTTCCCCCGACGCATCAATGTCCTCTACCGGAATGACAGACCCCTCCTTGGTAGGGTCGGACTCCTCAGGAATATCAGCGGACATCTCCTCCTCGCCCAAGTCCTCCGAAATAGCAGAGTCTTCCACCAAATCATCAAAGTGGTCCCCCAAAAGATCATCTTCCCCCGACGCATCAATGTTCTCTACCGGAATGACAGACCCCTCCTTGGTAGGGTCGGACTCCTCCGGAATATCAGCGGACATCTCCTCCTCGCCCAAGTCCTCCGAAATAGCATAGTCTTCCACCAAATCATCAAAGTGGTCCCCCAAAAGATCAGACTCTTCTTCCGAGAAATCGGAAGAATTACTCTCCCGCTCTGGAAAATCAGGCTGTAGCGCTGGAAAAGCAGACCTCTGCAAGTCTTTAACGCCATCTGTGGTGTAAGCGGATGGCAAAGTGGCTGCGTAAACGTTCGCAAATATGCAGAAAACGGCGAGGCAGCGTAAGGACCTCATTGTGAGATTCCTGAGCCGCAGAAGTTACCAGTGTTTGTGTTGAGTGAGGAGTGCTTGGTAGTTTGGCACTGGTAGAGGTGTGTGTGCGATGGGGTATTGTTTTGGCTGGCCGGGTTCTGCCTTTTATATGCCGTGTGTTTAGGTTGGGGAGGGAGGATTTTGGTAGGGGTTGAGCCTTGGAGAGTGGAGATGTACATTATTACGGGGGATGTATGCTGAGGAGCGGTACTGGAGTGCGTAATTGGTTCGGTGAGAGATGTAAGAGGCGAAGGATGCAGGGTAGAGTGGGGGTTCCGAAATTGTTCTGTTTAAAATAGATAATAGAATGAGAGAGGGATTTTGGATTGCAAAGGCTGCCACGAAGCCGGCGGGATTGACAAGCGACCGTGACTTTAAATGTTTTCAAGGAGGGGTGATTAGTCATCGCAATGACATCAAAACCAACGGAGAGGCGTGAAAGTTTGCCGAGAGATTGGCAATCCAAACTGGTCGAGTAAGGGACCGCCTTTCTTTAAGGCAGCAGTAGGCTTTGTAATGTGCGATACTGGGGGTTTCTTAGCAACGAAAGGCTCATGGAGGAAAAGCGGACACATATGCAAATACAAATAGTAAATGTAATTAGGCTACTGCAATTGGGAAGGATAGATCACAATTAATGCCAACAGTAGCTGGCGACATTGCTGGACCACATGAATTGCGATCCAGATATGGCGCATCTGGATTCATGGGAGAGGTGTCTTCGGAGAGCAAGTCGGGGCGTCGCTTTTTAAAGCACCTACGCACAGCGTCAGGTTTCCTTTGCAAGAATATGACTTCACAACAACTCTCCGTCTCGCAAAACAATCGTCCCTAACCGCCGAGCCTTCCTTCCTAACCTGTTCGTGATGCCGGCTACAGAAGGTCTCAGGAAAATGTATACTGTGCAGATCGCCGAAGGGAACGAGAGGAAGGTGGAGTACAAGTTTTTCGCCGCTGAAAACAACAGTCCTTGGGACCTCGGGTGGCCGATGGAAGACGACGCGGCGGAGCTCGGGTTCTCGAGAAAGATGTCTCTCAACGGTTATTCTGACCTGGCGTTTGCAGGGATACACCAATAGAAAAGAAACTACCGCGAACAGTTGCTAAGCTACATGGTGCGGTCTAAGATGATGGTGCGGTCGGAGAAGAATGAAGTAGGGGTTGGGGTGGTGGTGGATATGGTGGAAAT